AATTTGATTTATTTGGATTCTATTTGTAATAATAAAGAGAGTGTGTGGGTGTGGGTGTGTGTGTCTGGGGTGAGTGAGGTTGGTGTGGGCGTAGATCTGATGTAGTCCGATAGCCTGATCGACACCCACACCCACACACTCTCTTTATTATTACAAATAGAATCCAAATAAATCAAATTTTAATAATTATTTATTTGAAACTATAACTGCATTAATTCGTACAAGTGTCTCACAAAATCTCGGTATATTTAATTAATTAGAACAAATGCTTTTTTATTGTATTTATAGCACTATTTTTTAGATGATATTGCTGGTATAGAATTATTTTTCTTATTGAATATGAAATTGATTCTCGTCTTTTGTTTTCAATTTAGAATTAGTTCCATATGTTTTATAAATAATTGGATTCTTATTAGTATCGCGTTCATCAGAATCAACACTTACACCAACATTTTGGAAACCTGGTGGAAATATTCCAGCTTTATCAAGACTTTTACAATCTTTTATTAAAAAAGCTAACGAAACAATTGCTCTTGAAAAAATAGTAAATTTTGATTGTTTACGATTTTTTAATCGCATTATTTTTATTTTTTTTTTAAATATTAATAGCTAACAGTTCTTGGAATATTTCAACAACTTGTGTCTCAATCAAAAATTCATGTTCATGATGGTTTTTTCATATTAGAATTATGAATAATTCATTTATCAATTCGATGTTTAAATAATTATTTCAAAAATATATTTATTATATTTAAGCGCTTAACAGAAGCCCAAACACAAATATTAATTAAATGTATTGTTGTCTTCTTTTTTATTGTATTATTAAATATGGTACGCAAGAACTTATTACGCGAGTTGATTCAATTCAAACAAAGTAAATTTTCTATTGATTGATTGATTGTCTCCTAGGGTGTGAGGGTTGGTGTGTGGGTTTGGGTCGTTTCTTAACCGACACATCTACATCCACACCGACACGCTTTCTTTCTAGCTTTATATCAATCAAAGATTAAAAAACCATTAGATTTTCTTAATAATGACGACTTTTCTTGAGTAAATGCATTCATATTTAGAACTGCTTTTGGAATTAGCTCATTTACTATATATGCTTCTTTTACTCTCGCTGAGGATGGATA